AGCAGCTGCGTGGGGTTAAACCACGACAAACATCTGTAGATATTAAGAGTTCAGGCTTGAGGTACATCTGCAGCACCAAAAAGACTGCTCACTAATCTTTCATCTACTCTGTTTTCCACCTTCCTCAATACAATAAATTATTTCTGAAAAAGAAACCAGAAAGATTTCTCTTTCCTTGTAAATATATTGAATTCTCACTTTAAAGCTGCAAATAATTGTCGGCAGTCCTGTAAATGTTCAGACAAATACTTCAAAGCTTTGATAGCCACAACCTGTTGTTCATTCTGAAAAGAAATTAAAACATGTTTTGTATAAATTGCACTACCTCAGTTACACCAAAAAAAACCCCCAAAGCAACAGCATATTCCAAAAGTCTGTGCAGTCTACTAGCAGGAAAAAGAACAAAGGACTCCGCACAGAAGAGCCTCAGAGTCAAGAGAAAACCATAAGGAGAGATCATACGATTCCATGCAAAAGAACAGGATCAGTACAGGTTGGCAAGGCTTTCAGCACTTTACAGTGCTATGAACAAAGCCCTAAAAGGCAACCAAAAGCCTCTTCTAATTATGCTAATGTAATCAGCCAGTTCAGACATCACTCAAGTCACCAATCAAGAGGCAAATTAGGAGGGACAAGTGACTTTTCAGTCTTTCATCGCTGACTTATGTGTATTTTGTACACGGGTTCCCCTTAGCACATCAAAGATCAAAGCCCAGAGGCAGAAAAAGACGTAACATTTTGCTAAGGAGAATTTTACAGAAATACACCATGTCATTTCCAGATAGCAACATTTATAACTCACAATCCTTTATCTTCCTGAAGAAATATTAAAAAATACAATTTCTTTATATGTGAAATCAATTTCTACTTCGCATTACACAACACATTTGAGTGAGACCTTTGTCACAGAAGCATGAAATACTTAGAAACGCATGAAATACATAGAAATATTAAAAGCAGGCCAGGTTACAGAGGTTACAGCTGTCCTACTTATATCAATAAAGCAAAGTTAAGACGTTATCTGCTCTACCTCTAAAGCAATTTGGGCAGCTAAACTCAGGAGGTTAGTGCCTGTATTTTCATCCACTCTCAGCTTTTCTTCACGTTGAGATGGCTTTTCTGCTAGCTTCCCCATTTCAATAACTGCTTCCACAGCTGAAATATACATAGGGAAAAATTCAGGTTTTTTTAGAGAAGCAATTGGAAGGTGGAAAGTTCTACTGTTTTAGTAAGGCTTTAGAAACGACTTACGAAAGGCTGTAATTTTTTTTTTAATACGAAAAAACAAGACAAGAAAACCTGACCACACCAGCACTTCTCCAAAATTATGCACTTCTTCCTAGAAAGGTTTTCCAAGCTACTAATCTAAGGAAACAAGGATGCCAAACAAATGAAACTGTATCTCACATCCTTAATTTTGTTCTGCTAAATAACTGTTTGTCACTGAAGACAGAAGACTTTCTCTAATACATTGTCTGGGCGTGATTCCAAGCTCCCACATCTTGGCTTATGCTAAGGGTGCTGCTGCTTTTATGTTCACACTGTGCTGTGGTTCCCATTCTATATTATGTGAACAAATTATGCTGTCGTTAAAAAGACGTATAGAGAACAATTAATTGCCACAGAACTCATCAGAAAATAAGCTCTGCATGTTACTCTGTATTCTAAGTAAGTATAGACTGTATTTCTCCATTTTTATTACTTGAATCAAGATTCTCATTAAAATATGAAATGGCAGAACTCATTATAAAGAAGAAAAGAGTCTACAGAGATATGTTATTCTTTAAATCATTTCAGTAATTCATGTATTTTCTGGTAACTTCAGGTAACAGAGATATTAAGAGCAGCAATAATGGTTCCATTAAGGTTCAGTAACTCAGTATCCTTTTTTTATATTGTATATGCATACAAAAGAATATTAGAACAGTAAGTATACAATAATTCTCACCCTGGGATGCTACTATAGCTTCTGCCCATGAAAAGATTAGAGACTTCCTAGCCAGAGGCTCCATCCAGACAATATCAGATATGGCAATGGACTCCACATCTTACATATTGTGTGCAAAAAGCATCCCACTCTGACAGTTTATATCTACAGCCTAACAGTTTCAATGATTTCACAGACCCTTCTTCTAGCTTCCCTCTATTGTGTCCTTCTTAAGATGAACAGTCCAAATCTGCTTAGTATTTTTTAATATATTAGGCATTTCTGCTCCTTGTAGTGGACCTTTTATCTTTCAAGTTCTACCTTTATCAGTATCTTTCTCCATCACTGCAATCTTATAGACACTGAATTTAGTAAAGATGCTGTTTGGATCACACCTCTCTGCTTCTTTAACTGCTTCTTTAGCCTGTTCACAGAATAGATTAAAGGAAATCAGTACAATGACATCTTGAAATCAGTAATATAATTTGTGATAGAAGAGAGCTAAAAAGATACACAAAATGTTAATGGTTACATTGTTGATATTTATATAATTACTCAAGAAGTTTGGCTTGGCAACATCTTCCCTGGAAAGAAAAGTAAAGCGACGAGAACAGAAGATGGCACCAAAGGCTGACAATGACCAGATAGAGGAAAAAGCCAATTCCTCAAAATTAGTGCTACAGAATCAGAAAGCAAGAGAAGCCCTGAGAATGCTGAAGAATTAAACTCCCTTCTGCCACTTTGAACTGTGAAGTTTAACACCCCCAAACCAGAAGGCCTAGATAGGTAAAGCAGGTACACTTCTCTGCAGAGGTGAGAGCTAACACACTGTTGTGGGAAGTTCTAGTGAGACATATCAAACGTTTTTCCTGCCAGTGCTCATCTGCCCTGAAGAGAAGACCACCTCTGAGAGGAAACCTGATATACTGAGGCATGGTCACACAACTTGTGGACTGTTTCCCCCATTAGAATGATAGGTGATACAAGAGGCCCCCACAGCAGCTAAGATGATGAACATCTCTCTGCCAAATGATGCAAATAGGCAAAGACAGTTCCCTCTCTCAAAGCAAAAGAGGTACAGTAACAAAGGTGTAAAATAAGTCCCAATGACATAGCCACAAAAATAAAAACAATGCAAATAAATAAATGTGTATACATATATATTATATATACCTTGTCAACTTGTTTCAGATGAAGATAGCAAGAGGCCATATTCCTTTGCAGCTTAGCCAAGTTCTGATCTATCTGCCCAGGTGTGTAGAAGCTGACAGAGTAATTGTACCAGTGAAGAGCTTCAGAATAGCTTTTTGCCTAGGAAATTAAAAAAAAAAAACAAAACCACCACACACAAACAAAAAAACCCTAAACACACCCTTATTTGGGTGATTAAACTGCCTATGTTTTCCCAAATTTAAAAAAAAAAGGTCAGAGGAAATGAAAGATTTAGATACTCAAGTATATTCTAGTGTAACCTTTCCCCCAGAAGAGCAATCATTGGTCCCACAATGCAGATAATACTTATTAGGAGAACTGACGCTTTACCTATTCCTACTCTTCCCTTATTCTTACAGCCATTATCAAAGATAGGACACTGGACTAGATGGGTCATTCATCTGACCTAGAAAGGACATTCTTATGACTAAATACAAAGCAGAAATATTATTTCAAAAAATCTCTCTCGTCACGATACAAAGCAACTGAAACTAAGAGAAAAAAACAAAAGTGTTTATCCCATTTAGACTATGAACCTTGATGATACTACGCTGAAGATATTACTCCCAACTATAGTTCCAATTTGGACAGAGAATTTATTTTAAAATGAGGACGGAAGCTGTGTCATTAGCAAAATTCCCTCCTTATCTACACAGATGAGAGGTAATAAAATGGCACATGTGTTTTTCTTTATATATTCAAGAAATGAGCATATGACAGAAATACAAGAGTAGAACATGAGCTCATTTTCTCCAAATACGGAAAGAATAAGGTGTCTGGTTTTGAATAACAGAACTTATACATACAGTACGAATGTATATGAACTAAGATACAATGTAAGCATCCAAAGCTGCTTTACATAGGCTAAAAAGAAAATCAATGTACAAATGATAACATTTCATGCTCCTTAAAGCAACAACTGACCATCAGAGGGTAAGAATTGTAAAATAAACAGCTCAATGTAAAAATATTTCCAGTTTTTTGTACCCTTCCCAGGACAGAACCAGAATGATGGGCTGCACAGGTTCGTTGGCTGATCTGTTCTGGCCGTAACTGTTCCCATGTACAAACCTTGAGATGAGGCTACCTGAAACTTGTTGTTGTAATGGAAAACAGCACCCAGATGGATGAAAATAAAACTAGTGCCAACTGGAACAGCGATCTTAGTAACAGCTTGCATTCTAACCAAAAATAGACATACCGAAGAGGTCAAAAAAAGCAGACCTTCATTTTTATTGATACAAATAACAACACTGCTTTTTGGTCCCAAACCTCATAATGTTTGGCAGCTCTGTCCCACAAGATAATGTGCAGCTGGTTCAAGGCTTCAGGCAACAGCTGTTTCCCAGTATAATGACCTGAAAAGACACTGCAAATCATCACTTTACAAGAACTTTAAGCAGCACACTGAGAAGCACCTAAGAACTATCTGAGAAAGACTGTCCCATAGCCTACAACAAAAAACACTGGCACAGCAATAGTTTCAGCCAGGACCCAGCGTTTCATATCCTGCTTCTGGAAAAAAAAAAAAAAACAAACAAACAAAAACCAACCAAACAAAACCCCCAAAAAACACTCGGTAAGAGAATAAATATTTTAATGCTTGAACTATGTAAATGTGGCTTTTGCACCTAGCTTGATGCTATGTAAAATACGGTCTGACTTCCAGAAGATCTGACAGTCAAAAAATAACTACAGTGCTACAGGTGCAACAGACCTGAAAAAGAAACTGTTATTCAGCTGCTCAAACAAGGATATGCAACCTGTTCTAATACTTACAAACACAAACACATTGGGCTGGATGGACAAAGTATTAACATTACACAGAACTTCTGATAAATGTTTCAAATCCCACATGTATCAGTCACACACAGTCTACACTGAGGAGGAACTGTGAATTTAACCCTGAGCTTTATCATGACTGTCATTCATTATGGAAGTTGACAGTTGTCATGCAAAAGAAACATAAGGGAAAACAGACACAAATAGTAAGAAAGATGAGAATAAGCAAAAAAGTGAAAATCAGAACTCAAGACTTTAGCCAACTAAATCTAGCTTTCGGTAAACAGCAGCAAAAGATGGATACAGACCTATAATAACTTCTTCAACCTTTTGCTTAGCAAGCAGTTCCCTCTTGTTCTGCAACAGGAACTCGATGTGGAGCAGGGTAATTTTTCCAAGGTCAGGTGAAGATTCAAATCGTTCAGGAACAGATTTCAGAAAATCAAAACCAACTGACTCCCTATTCACAGAGGTGCATTTTTAAGAGGCTGTACAAGAAGAGCTGTTAATTTTCCATTCTAAAGAATAACATATTCAGACCGTACACCATGTTTCTCATTAGTACTACTGGCACACAATCACACTGACAGAGTGAGTCAAGGTATGAATTTACTGCGGTTCACCTATTCAGTAGTAACTTCCTATTAGCACATGCTTGTTCCACAGTATTCACACAAGAGAGTGTACTCCTCACAACGAAAGAGTAAGAATTTACTGCAAGATAGAAGTATATACATAGCTAATCATGATGGAGCATTCAACAGTGTGAAATTTCATGCCTCAATTTATTTTGCAGTAACTTGTTCATCCTTATACTGTTTTTCACAAGAATGATTCTGGGACTCCAAACTCTTTCATTCTGAGGGTTGGTTAGTTAATATGGAAGAAAGATTTCAGATAATTCCAGACTCATATATATATTATTCCAGATATATTATTCCAGATATATATTAAAACTACATAGGGAGAATCTTAATCATTCCAAAGTAAGGCTACAGCATTGCAAATTGCCACCCAACATTCTTTCACACCCTGTTCTGCTGCTGCTGCCATAATCTGTATCACCTTGCTATAGAAAAGACTCCCTCTCAAAACTGTTTACCTACCTCTGGGAGTTTTTATTTAAAATAAAGCATCACTGTATAACAGATGTTCTTTGCTTATAAAAGAACACCTACAAAGCCCAAATATTGTGTTCACCCCACTTAGCGATGCTTTCATACCTTCCATGCTCCAGCAGCAGTTTGGCAGTATTCAAACAAAAGTCTAAAGACATCTCATGGTGCAGGAATTCTGCAACAGCTAGACAGAACACAGAGCAGTTGAGATTATTTAACCAACTTAACTGCTCAATTCACCATTTACCTCTTACAGCTTCTTTGAAAAAAAAAAAACAACAAAAACAAAAAAACCAAACCCAATATAATAGTTCTAAAACAAAAGGAAGAATAAAACATGTCTATTGTGCTTTGACTTTCCTTTCGCTGTACAATTAATGTAGTGCTACAGAAAGGTGACAGACGGATAGCCCTGGAATTCTAGCCCTCTGTCTCTTTAACAGGAACAGCATAGGCATTAGTAGCACAAATTTTTGCCTCAAGCTGCTTTGCATCAAAATGTCTTATCCTTATCCAGCAGGAACCACTTAGGACTGAGGTCAGTGCTCAGGCTGTGTGGTGGTATCACATTGCAATGGGAACTACTTAAGCCTAATGCCTTTAGCATCAGCTGGTGCTGGTAAACAGGTATCAGTTTTAGACCACTCAGATAAAGTTTAAAAATTGCTAGACTGTGCTGGATGGTTAATAACAAGATTTATACATTTGTAGCTTGGATGAGATCAGAGAAGGAACACATAGGGACATGACTGTAACATGTTAAATGAAGCATTTCTAAGGCACTTCTGTACAAGTGCACAATACAAGATTTTAGTCAAATGCCTAAAACTTAGCAGGAACCTTCACTCAAAAGAAAGAGAAGTTGCAGCGCATACTCACAACACTCTTTTCTGCCAGCCATACAAGAAAAGACAGACATCCACTCATTTCCAACCATGAAGAGTACAAAGCCTCGCTTCTTTAAGATTTCATTATTTATGGAAATAAATTTCTCCTGACACATTACCTTTCCTATATTAAAGTCTCCCCAAAACTTTCTTCTCTCTCATGCTAATAGAAAAATCAGTTCTCTTCAAATGACAAGTTTGAGGAATAAAGAGAAAAGAGTTTATATGCCCCAGATAAACTAAGTAAACTCTGGTAACACAGGTTTATAACAACACACTGATCAGCACTTGATGTTTCTTGGACAAAATCTGCAAAATCACACACAGAGAATAGCAATGTTTCACAAGCCTTTCTTCTATGCTGACTGCATAAGAGACAATCCACCCTTCTTGAGTAACCTTAGGCATATGTCTAAAATAAACCATACATTTACATTGCTATATTTTCACTGTCTTCATTCTAACAGGCTTCACAGTCTTCCCCCTTCCCTATTTCCAGCAAGTCTACTTACATTCTCAACAAAAACAAAATAATGCTTAATTCAAACTTACATTAGCACCTGGATAACTCCTCTGTTAACACTGACTACTATGTCTCACACTCTAAAACCAGAACGACATTTAGCTAATGAAGATTCCTCCAAAACACAAGAGAAAGAAAAGAAAAAAAATAAATCCTTATCTACAACTCAGGCCATCTTCTTGGATATGGAGTAGTATGACCTTACTATGAAACATATACAGAGCTGTGATACCTGAGTTGATATCTTCATCTGATGCTCCACTTCTAAGAAGAATTTTAACTTTCAAAAAAAACCCTGCTGGATGCAAATTCTCCTGCACAATGAAAAATACTACATTACTGGGACAGCTATTTGTAGAATACAGATCTCGTGAGAGTCCAGCACATTCATAACACAGACAAATATTAGGAAATCACATACACTCCACTGTATTCTTCAGTTCCATTTTAATGACTGAAGCAACAGGTAGGCAATTATTTTCTTCTTAAATGCAATGTGCATCGTTATTATTATTTCTTATACTTCCAAAAGACCACAAGAACAATGAAAGCAAGAGATACATGATTCTCATTTTGCTGTGGCCCATTTCCGATACTTTTAAACAGAAACTGAACAACACTGAATGACAGAAACATTTCCTGCTTTTCTATGTGTGAATTGCTTGGATTAGTCCAGAATTAATATGAGCAGAATTCAAAAGTAGCTAATAATAATGCAAAATTTAGGAGAGAACAACAATGGGAGCAAATAGAAATAACGAAGACTGTATACTAGAGCTCTCACTAAAACAGTGCACATTCCAGACTCTAGAATAATAATTTTCTTCTAGTTTTCCATACCCTCATACAACATCAAAACATACATTATCAAAAATGATGATAAAAACACTTTCCACCTCAAAAGGTTTTACGAAAGTAAATACAATAAAAACTGCAAAGAGCTTAGATACTGTGGTGGCATGTTATTTGAATTATTAAAATACACTGCCTTTTATCCTGATCTCAAGAGCACGTGCATCATCATCTGTCTGAAAGTTTTAACAGCATGTAGAAAACTGAATTTGAGCTTTCATTTAAGACAGGATTTTATACTTAAAACTTGTTTTGTATGAAAGAGATAATGGAAATTTAAAAATGGTCAACCAAAGACAAATACAAATTTTTCAAATTTAAGTCACTGTAACTAATAACTAACTTGAAAAGATAGAAGCACAAAATTAATTCAAGTCTTTATATGGGAAATGGAATTTGTACAAGAGCAAGAGACCTCACTATAGTGACTGCTTAGAGAGGTATGAACTTTCTTCAGGGTAGCTGGTATGTTTATACAGCTCATTTTTCAGGTTCCAGAAGAAATACAGTCATGTTAGTAAAGTGCAATAGCTAAATTAATTGTTTGAAATAAGACTGATGTAGCACGGCTACACAGCTTTCAAAAATGAACTCTGTTTGGCGCTTGCTCAAATATTTGTACAGATAATGAGATGGGAACTCAAAATGTAGTACGGACATATCCATTATAACCAAAGCAAGACAAAAGGTCTGGTGCATAAAAAGCCAGCTGCTATAAATCTCCCGTGGACCACACTGTAGTTTATTCTGTTTGTACAATTTTCATGAATGGGTGCCAGAGAAATTTTAGTCATATCACTATCAAAGGACCTTACTATTAATAGGTATGAGGGAGCAAGACAGCTCTACATCTACATGCAAAGAAGTAATTCTCTATAAAAAAGCTGGGAACATCAAAACATAGTTATACACTATAAATACAGTAACACATTACTACCTGATTTGCCAAGCTTATAGCCTTCAATGCCTTGTCAAGATACAGATTGCAATCCCACTCGAAATAGGCTGTAGCTAACAATCGCAGCACTTTAGCCTGGAAAGAGAAACAAACTGGAAGTTTAAATGCCATCTGAAGAGCAGAAAAAAAAAATAGCGACACATGAACATACATGTGAATACAAAAGACTTAAAATTTAAGGTCATGAAAAATAAAAACTCTTTGAGTCAAAAGAGTGCCTGCCTGGTATCAGACATATAAAGTGATTGCTCAGTTCTGAAGCGTATCCAGTCTTCAGCACTGCAATTCACACAGGACATGAATCAACTAGAGTTCAGAGGAGAACAGAAGGGTAGCAAAGAAAATCAGAGATGTGGAAAAAACAGAATGAAAGAAGAAATTGAAGGAACAGGAGGTACAAACTTCACTGAGAGAAAAGAAAAAAACAACACGAAGACATATATGATAATGGCTTTCAAATATATAAATGATTTATATAAAGAGGAAGAGATTAAAATCTCTATATCCACTGTGGATAGAGAAGAAGAGATGGCCTTTCAGGGTCTACTTCAGCCTTATTTTCTACAATTTAATTTCTGTGAAATAGTAGATTCAAATGTGATTTAAGGGCACCCATCAGTGACTGAACTCTCAGACTGACACTCATAGCAACTGAACTTGCAGATTTGCCAAACTTCATAGCAGACAGTACTAAAGAGAAGGCCAAAGAATCACTAGTCAGGTTTGGCACAGCAGAGGCAGATGATACAGTGGAGCCAGGTTAATAAAATCCTCCTATTTGTAAACAGCAATTTCTTTACTTCTTACCTGCATTTCTTTGCCAACAGAATATTTCATGTCCATCTTCCCAATGTCGTAACTCTGGCTATCAATGATAAGTGAAACTTAGAATTAAATGGGATGACAGAGATAAATTCATCCAGTCTTCTGATATGTGCAACATTCCTATCCCTTCCCACTTCTTAACCAGTTAGAAACCACATAAATCACACAAACTAATCTCAGTAGACATTCTTACTAGAGAACAGAAAATTTTGTTTTCTTTCTAAATCCTCACATTAAAAATTGCACTCAATCACTTTCTTCAACCTGTTGCACCACCTTCTACAACATCTTCTATTCAAACACTTAGTAGGCTTTATCAGTTTTAACCACAGGGGTTTTGAAGAAGCAAGTGTCGTCATTCTCACCTGACATATAATATAGTCATACACAAAAGTTATACATGACCTGGTCTCAAGATCACAGCAAATCAATAGCAGAGACAGAAACAGAACCTGGGAGTCATGACTCCCCATTCTTTTTCTAAAAGTTAAATGACAGCACAAAGGACCACCCAGGAGAAAACACAGTGGTAATTCCACAAAACCAGATTCAATTCCAAATGCTGTGAATGAAGAACTGTTAGAAAGAAAAATAATAACTAGGCATTTGTTTTCTGATCTAATATATTCTCAGTACAGGGAAATCTTAACACACTAGATGGAGCTACATCTCTTTCTCCAAATAATTATTTGCACTTTGCAAAGGTTTATTTCCTCCTCAAATTTTGTCATCAGGATTCGGTAATTTTCCACAAGAATAAAATATAAAATAATCTCCAAAGCACCAGCTGTAATTAATTCTAAGCATTTCTACAAATCCTTTTTGACAACTGTGACCATAACCATTTTGAATTTGACATGTTGCCATTTGTTTTCTTCTGACTATTTAAAAGAAAAAGAACAAGAAGAAATAAAAACAAATTTTCTGAGCTGAGGCTGTGACCTTGGCATGAGGATACTCTTCCCAATAGCCTACATTTTTTCTTCCTTAGCAGTACCACATTACTTATTTGGATCCTACCCAAACCATCTCTAACTATTCCTTTTCCACCTTGATGGTTGTGTCTTTCATCACTCAAGGAACTTGCTCTCAGTGAAGCACCTCCTTTATGAGAAATTCAAACACTGTTTAAAACAAATCCATTTAAAACTGGTCAGAAGAATTCGTCTACTCTTTTTCAAATCCCTTCACTATCACTTATGAATGGCACAAGAACTGGGAACAGCCTCTTCATAAAAATAATCTCTTCGGAAGCAGTGTTAGGGAGAGAATTGATGAGAACCATGGAAAGAAGACTTTCCTTCTAATGACATGAAAATCTATGTGGAAAGCAGACATAAACGTTAGGCAACTGAGTTAAGACAGTCACTAAGTATTTGCTCAGCTAATTTGGCTCAGCTAAAATCTTGTATTCTCACATTTTTAATTAAACCTCTACTTTCCCTTTTCCCCCCGTCTCCTTCACACATATTTTTACATCTCAAAAGCAGGATTTTTATTTTGTTTGCCTTTGCACATTACCTGAGCCAGAAGGAGCTCTGTTCATACCTCTTCCATTCATAGGTTTCCACTCCAAAATTGTAACAGAGGATTGACAGGTAACAAGTCTGCAATAAAAGACTCCTGCTTCTACAATATTCTTGCAGAAACACTATTAGATCTATGGCGCTCCAGTCTCAGATTCTTTAAAATGCATTTTACTTTAAAGATATATCCACTGTTATCACTTCTGACCTTATATAAGGGGATATTGAACATGACTAAAATGGAATCATAATTGTGTGGGAAAGTGAAGCATCATTAACTAGTCCAGGACACGCAAAACAGCAGGATTCTTGAAATACATGAGGTACAATAGTTCCTCAAGAAATCATGCTGAAAGCACTAGAACTGTGTAAAGTAAACAATAGAAATTAAAACTTGAGAGGAAAAGCTGGAATATTACAACTTCATTTTTAAAAATGACAAAAAAGTTTTACATAGTTAAGTGAAGAGGACTCTACCTCTTCCATGGTAGGCTTCTTCCCAGCATGTCTCTTTGGGATTAAAAAAGCATCATCCACATTACAAATTTTAGGAGAAAACTGGTTTTGAATGCTCGGTTATTCAGAGCACTGTTGCCTTCTGCTTTATCAGTCAGCCCTAACAATGTCTGTTCATAAAAACTTGTCTTTCCTTTGAAATGATTTGCAGCTGTCATATGTCATCCAAAGAAGAGACAGAAAAGTCATTTTATATGCTAACAGGCTGCCAATATTTACATCCATTTTGCCTCTGCAGTAACTTTCTTTTCCAAGTATAAATGATGTTTCTTGCAAGTGACTACACATTTCAAATCCTCAGGCAAGAATGAGAGAGGTAACCCAACACCTTGCTTCAAATTTATTGTTTATCTCATTGCAATCCAGAGACAAAAGCACAGATTCAGTATGCATGAACAAACACAAACAAACAAACAAAAATCAAATCATTCTCAGACGAGAAACCCTTATTTTTCATAAGTTCATTTGTGAACGTTTTCTTTCCAGAACATAAAGTTTACTGTATTGAGAGGGTTTCATGGAAAGTAGGCATACTGTGGCATACCCCAGTCATTTACTTGCATGCTTGGAAAAGACGTATTTCAAAGGATAATTAAAATACTATTTCAGTGAATGACTATGTTCCAGGCATCAAGCATAACACTAAACATCCCCATAAACCTGGCACCTCTCTGAACAACAAGTGTTTGGAACAATTTTGGCATTTCACCCTGTAGGGCAAGAGTTCCCAGTTACGGTTCACAGACCGCTGACGATCCACAAGCTGCAAATCCTCTCCAGCTGATCGTGCTACCATACATTACCATAACACAACCACCTCCTTGTGATGCTCTGCAAGTGGTCTCTGGTACAATGGGAGCCTGGAAGAGTTAAGGACCGACCTAGTGGCCCAAAAATTTCCAAGTCACTCAGCAATCACTAGCTGTTTCCTTTTTTCTCATTGTTTAAATAACACTCTTTAAACCAGAAGTAAATTGCATCTCTCGTGATCAGAAACCTTCTCCTTGTCTGCTCCTGGTTTGTGCTCCTGGTTTGTGAAGGGCATTCATCATGAGAAGTTTAATATTATTTAATGGAGGAGTTTAAGTGGAAAGCATGAAATGAAATGAAGAGATAAAATTCATTTAAAATGAAATGCAAAGATCCCAGCGACCACTTTCAACAATTCACAGTGAGAAGCTCTGCTCTTATGATTCAAATCAAAGCTAGACCCCTGCAACTGACTTAGTCACTCAGATGCACTGAACAAGGCCTGCAGATCACAAAAAACAATCTAAAATTAGTTGGAGTTTAATTGGTTAAAAACGCAATTAAACTCCAACGATATTTCTCTTTCAGAATTCGTATCTACCCCTTTGAATTTTATTACCTGTACCACAGAGACAGGAACAAAATGTTTCTTAAATATTGGGAAAACATTGAAGTAAGCAAATGAAAATAAATGTGGGGAAGTTTATTCCGATATAAACATATCAGACTTTCATCTTTGCAAACAAAGAACTAGTCTGCATATGCTAGAGTTTGTTTTCTTTGGACATTGTTCTATGACACAAGAACTACAAAAAACACAGTTTAGTGCAATGGGAAGCCTCCATTCATAGCTCTACAGCTTCATGAAGATGATGATGAGTACTGAGGGTAGTGACAGACTTGCATATCAAAAACTTATAACTCAGCTCTTCTCTTGTTCCATCTGTCTCTAGACAAAAGTTCACATGGGTACAAGTGAAGAAGCAATATACAAGATCAAGATGTAAAACGCAGCTGGTTCTGCAGAAGAGTAGGTGGCATATTCAACTTAGAAATCTTTTTGCCTTGCTTGCCGATTTGTCTTCTCTCATTCTTTAGGAAGAGTTAATCATGCTATTTCAAATGATAAATTATGAGAAACAAACAAAAAAAAAGAACTTTGAAGAAAAAAACCTGTTGTTTCCATGCAAAATTTTTAGTAAGAAAATCTCAAAGAAGCAACCAACCACAGAAGAGATACACAGTTCAGAGTACTTTGCAAAATGTTATATGGTGTATGTCATTCTTTAATATATAGAGAGGAAAGCAGATTTTCAAAGTTTGGAATAATAAAGAAGGGATGATTTCACTTACCTCTTTTGGTAATTTCATCAACATATCTTTGCAGCGCTGCACGCACATCACTGCTTTCTGAAAATCCCCTTGAGCAACTGCCTAAAAAAGCAGTACAGCATGCCAACAAACCGTTAGTGAGCAACTTGTCCTTAAAATTCATTAAAAGGCTGATTCTCTAAAATAGGACTTGGGTTTTTCCCCATTCAGTAAAGCTAGGTTTGGAATTAGATATCTGTCCTTACAGTGCTACAATAATTCTGTATATTTCTCTATATTGCCAGATGATAAAGACATCCAGAAAAACACTGCAGTCCTTAGGTAGTGTGAAAAGGCCAGATACATGGGAGAAGTTCATTCAGATGTTAAGATGATACAACAGTTCAGCAAATCTTAAACCACCTCTCCAATAATTTAAGGTCCTTTTTTGTCTCCATGATCAAATTAAAAATTTTGGCCACTCCTTTGGCCTGCTTAGGGAAGCTCTTGAGAATTTTGGAGATAGTACTCCCCTTCTAGATACTGAGGTCAGTGGTATTATCAACAAATGCAGGCAACTACATTTTGTTGTATTTACACTCATATGTCTGTAATACTCTTATAGCATTGATAAAGTACTCAGAAACTTCAGTCAGGCACAACAATGCCTCACAAAACTTAGAATTTCTAAATTACATACTTTGAATTACTGTAATTTGTGTTGTTGATCCCCTAGAAAACCTTTAGCACTTTTTCAGACTTCTCTCATATTGCACTAGGCTTTTTTTTTTAATAATTATCACCACGATTCTTACTTCATTTGTATGATGACAGAGGTTGAAACTTTAAAGAAAATACCAAATGTTATGGAACTCACTATTTCCAGATTTTGTAATTTTATATTGATTCTCCCACGGTTTAAAGCCTTTATACGTGGAAAGCAGCATGTATGAGGTCACGGAAGAGAGGGTATTCATGTATAGAAAGATCTCTGTGTGATAGCATATAATATTAATAGCTTTGATGATGTTCATGAGTTTGCAGAGTCATGAAAGTTGTAAGTTACAGAAGACTTTGCACTCGTGGCTTATAATACCTGTTAGATATGAACCTTGGCTATCTGCAGCCATGATGAATACTACCTTCATATACTTTCAATCAGCCTAGCTGAAAATACTGGCGCAGTATGATGAGCGTTCCAAAGTGACTAGTCTTGTTATGTATACAAATATACATGAATACACAAATGCAGTTTGGGGGACCCAGGCTCTACACAAGTCCTATCGCCCTTCCTCAGTCAAGCACAGGACACCTTTGGAACTGACACATTTATGATTCAGAAAGGCAGCTGTTTGTTTTAGAAACAGCCATGCTAGCCAAATCATAGGGCAACAAATCTGAACTAGAAGATATAAAACACCACAGCAGAAAAGACTGCTATAAATTAGGCAAATTAAAAATCATTAAATGATTGCAACACTGAATGCAAACACAACAGCTGCTATCTTACATCTGAGTAAAGGAAATATATCCCTCAGCAAATCTTCAATGCCAAGCATTCACACATCTAATAACCAGGTCAGAGTTTCCCTCTATACCCCTAGTGACTTATAAGGAAAACTGGGAAGAACACATACTGATTCAGCCTGATAAGAGAGTACTTTGAAGAGGTTCTTCTCCACATCAGCTCTGTGCACGTGAATATCTGCTTCACCATCGCTCCCCTTAAGTAACTTCGCATATAGTTTTTCTATACTCTGGAAAACAAAGCATAGGCATCACCCATAGAACTTACGAATAGGCATGCTTATAAGAAATTAAAACTGGAAAAGAACTTACACTCATTGCAATCTCTAGAAATCCATCTGCAAGATCAGCTTTTCCAATATCTATCCATCCTTTCCCAGTTTTCATAGACATCTGAAGGAGAAAATGGTGAGTGCTTTGTGAGAATATAGTCACTTTCAAGAAAGGAACGTTAGCTCTCCTTTCGTTGATGCACATATCTAACATAGGAGAGGGGTATTTCAGCTCTTCGATTTCCGACAAGCACCTCTCACGTCTGAATGAAGTCCTTAACACTTAGATGCAGCATAAGACTATGCCCTACTAGACAATATTATAAGATACTGAATCAATATGCTACTCATATAACATTTTACCATATGACAAAGATGTAATGCTAACTGCACTGTCCAGAAATTCCTAACTGCACTGGCTCAGCAAGGTACCCCTGTGATAATACAGGTCCCCCTTCAGCATGTTCATATTCCCCAGAACTACAGGTATATTTCACTCTCTTTCCAAAGCAACTATAACAGGGTTTGAAGGTTTCCCTTAATGATCAACTGTACTTCATCGCTCACCCACCCTTAGCCTTACCAAAATCTGTCTTCGAATAGTTCCCTCTGGAGGATCACTGCCTTCACAAAGGCACACCAGTCTGCAAGCAACAAACCGTACTGCAAGAAAACAGTGCAGACATTCATAAGTTCCTTTTTCTCTTCTTTTTTTTTTTCTGAAAGGCAGGCCCTGCCGTATCTGAAAGACTGCTTGCCGTTTTAAATTACAAGAGAGAAAAATTTGAAAGCCTCAGGAGTCAAAGCAGTCTGAATTTTAGCCAAGCTGCTTAAAACTGCTTTTTAGGCAGTAAGGGAAAAAAAAAAATATTCTCATCAAAATACCTATTAAACACTTTAGAGAGAGTTTAAGTTAAACCATGGTATTCAAAGACTTAATTATATTGCAGGTGCTTACAGTAACATGTCTTCAGAGCCTCAAAATAGCCTTCAGCAAAATAGGGAAATGAAGTTTAATAATCTTTACATTTTCAAAGTAAAAAGCAAAAATATTTTCAGGCCTTCCTTATACATCAGGGATGGAAAAGACACCACTTAATGTATTTCAAATAGCCCCTCCCTGGCCCTTCAGCTGTGATAAAAGATCTGAGAACATTATGCTCTACAATTACTACTTATTTTGTGTAAACTTACCCTTCTCCCTTTACCTGATGTAATTTATATGATGCAGATTATACATAATTTTGACTATAATCCCTCAAGACAAAAATGTAGGCCAGATATTGCAATCCTGCAGAACCACATAAAGAACAGGTTGAGGGAAAAGACCAAAAGGTCACTTCTGCTTTCGCCCAGCCCTGCTCCTGGCTCCAAGCAAACCCACCAGCTGTGTAGCTGGCTAAAGCAGGGAAGTCAAAAGAGGATTTAGAGTTTTTTCTGTACGTAAACATTGATGAGATTGTTTCTTGATGTTCATTGATGAGATTGTAACTATCTCACTTGATATAAATTAAGTGACCAACAGTCTAAAAATTACATCTATGTTATTTCCATACATTTTTATATTAAAACCGTAGCATTAGAAGGCAAATTACAGCTTCCTTTGGTCACACCACCTCTTTACTGATGCTCTGGCACAGAAAGGGGGAGTGATAAGAATGCCTACACCGATTCTGTGTCACGAGATCACTATTACACCAAGATGCTCTTTCCTGAACAGTTTATACAAGCCTAGCAGTGTATTTTCCTCTGTCTACACCCTATCTGCAAAGATCCAAACAAATCTACAGCACTACATATATGCCTCTCAGCAGTTTTTCCTTTTCGTGCTACAGCACACAAGACACATTTAGGAAGGTATAGAACACATACGTACGTTTAGCTCTTTGCTCATCATTAACAACAGAACCCGTGTGTTTGGTCACAGCCCAGTTCCACAGGCTTACTGCGGTCTCTTCAACCTGAGTAGGAGAATTCCATTAAATTTAATTTTGTCCTGGATTTGGGTCACATTGAAATTTACTATTGGAAAAGGAATCATCTTTCATGTGTAACACAGTAATGACCTGTCTACATGTTTGTGCAACTTCCTTTTATGTTGGAGTCAAAGGTGTGAGTTTTCTATGAAACTGTTACATGATCCCACAGGGAGATATGGGATAGTGACCTGAAAACAGGCATGCTGAATGGACCACATAAGCATTTCTTCAGCTAAAAGTATGGATCATTCTTTTCTATTGATCCATCATTTCAGAAGAATTGTAAATAGCTGGCAGGAAGCACATGCTCTTTTCATAAGTATATTTCATAAGACATATTCAGTCTTATAAAAGACTATTTCACATTTTCTAAAAACATTAGAACACTTCTAAGATGAAGCAAGGTAAGAAAGAACATGACTGTGTAAATCCGAGGCTGACAAGACCTGAAACTAAAAAGAATTAATTAATCACAGGACCAATAGCACATGTATGTCACATCATCCATCATTTACATTGCCTTCAGCTCCAATTTGAAAGTATGCATTATAGCAAATTCTGTAAGTGAAGTGGTGGACTTCAGAAACATTCAAATATGTTCCTAAACAAATCCCATTAATCTGTCATATTACTGCAATGTCCTAACCTGTGTTTCTATCAAGTCCATTTCCAAACTTAGCAAAACATGACCTCACTTACCCTATCCATCTGGGATGAAGTTTTCTCACAAACACTCATAGATACAAAATTTGTGCAACTGCACATCATCATGTCCAAAATACAACTGATTCACTGGCAGCTCTCAGAATACATTATGTACATTCTAAACAGATGTTGAAAAATTTAAAGGGATTGGAAAAGAACTTTAAGAACTGTATCAGGTTTGAAAACATATCTATAGTAAGGCTTCACCTCTTTTGCTTATCAAAAAGAAAACTAAGTAGTTTAATTGTTTTAAATACCTACATCAGGAATCTTCTGATATTAGCAAATAAACAAACGCTACTTGCTACATACTCATTAAAAAGATGATGCAGTCCTACATAAAGGCAATAAGCTCATTTAACAACCCACCTTGAAGGGTTGCACTTTCCATCACTTCAAATCCTAGTTTCCATGGCAGATCTTGCCTACCAATACCCTCTTGCCTACCTAGAAGACATTTTATGACCCCTTTTATTGAAGATATCAGATTACAAATTAATGATTTCTCCTTTGTTTAAAAATAATTTAGCCCAACTGATTCAGGAAGAACTGAAGGATACCAGTTTTATGCTCCTGTATTTCTTCATAGACTGCACTAAGCATACTTTCTGTTTTGACACTTGCTAACCTATCTTGCTCCTTGTCTCAAATTTAGGACTTTCAAAATCAGTCTTCCTTAGATGATAATTGCTATGAGTTAAGTCTCCCTTCAAAATATAATTCTGGAGGAAAAGGTTGGACAATACTAGGCTGGTCTTGTTTTTATTCCAGATTCATGTATTACTCATCAGACTCCTTTTTGAAAAAGACCTTTTAAAGTAGACGTTTACTACTTTATAAGTACTTCTCTAGAAGAAATATACAGAAGGAAAAAAAACTAAAATTAAAAACATTATAAACAACAATTCACTTTTATAATGTATGAAAATGAATACTTCCCACTCTAATATTATGTACTAGGTTTACCAGACAATTAAAACAACATGCTTGCTTGTTTTCTTCTTCCTCAAGTATCTGCTATCATTATCGGAATCCGTGGACAGGATGAGGAGGACCTCTCCTCCAAACCAGTACCAAATTTTTAATGCATCAGCAGTCTATGCTTGCATTTTCACTTGAAATTACAATTAGATACTACTAGACAATTGAACTAATAAAAACTTTAACATCACTAAGACACCAGTAACCTTTCCCATTAGGATGCACACTTTTACACTTAGGATCAACATTTTGCATTGACTTTTTAAATGTAACATTTTCACTTTATTTTGGACTTTCACGCTATAAAAGATGAAAAAATAAACAGTTTTGTTTACATTCCAATAGCGCTAGAGTTAAATGTTTAGCATCAGCGCAAAAGATGGGAAACGAGTACGTGCTCGCAGAGCTGCGGGAACCGCAGCCACCAACCTGGGCGAGCGCTGCTGCGTGGTGCGAAGCACGTGAAACCCCCATTTCTTCAGGAGGGCTGGAGAGGGGCATCGGGCCGGGAGCCTGAGGCTCTACCTCAGCCGCGCTCCCATCCTCCTCAGAGATGCTCCCCGCCGCCTGGAAGAGCTCCTCGGTGAGGGCGGCGATGCGGGATGGCGCCTCCTCCCTCAGCAGCTTTCGCACCAGCCCTGTAAGACAGGACGAGAGGGAGGCGTGAGATACAGCCCAACAGCAGACGGCAGCTCCCAGGCGCCTATTGGGAAGGGGTACCTTC